TGTAGGAACTTTTAAATCTAGGTATCTTTCTCCAGGTATTTTCCCCATCCTGGGTTAGACAAGGAATATAGGATAGGACAACACAGAAATCTGTTCACAACATTTCCAACGGACACTAGAAAGACTGAGGCTGGTGAAACCTTCATTTCTGTGGTGGGACTGTCTCTTTGCAGATGCTATTTGCTGATGCCACTTTATCAATCATCCCTTTGCACAAAAGCAAAGAACTGAGCCTTTACTGCATCTAAAGATGACAGCAGCCCTGTGTTTTAGGCACCTTATTCAACAAGAAAAGGGTTTCTGTAGCTGCAGATAAGCAGGCACATATTTGCCAGGGAGCTGGTGGAGGTTTTAGCATTTTCCATCCTGTTCAAGCAGCAGTAGAAGCCATATGTATTTCCATGTCACATAGCAGAGCTGCAGCTGCACAGACTGCCCAGACAGATGAGAAGTGCATCTGCCCGTGGCTGAGCGCACTGCACCATTCATGCAAACACACAAACTTGAAGTGTTTAGCCTGGCACATACTGAGCAAAAAATCAAGTTGGAAAGCACATGCCACAGCTGGACATTCTCTCTTTTTTGGCCAAAATATAAGGGCTTCTAAGCAGAGGTATTTTGAGCATTCACAGTCAACTGAGTTATGAGTTGGAAAAGCATCAGCCATGCTGCTATCCAGTACATGCCCTTCTTTTCTTTCCTAGTTAATACATTTTCACTCCTCTGCAGCTTTCTGGGCACATACTGTACCTTGTGATGACATGAGAGAACAAGGCCTTTAAGTCTTCATTAATTGTTACTTCTATATTTTTAAAAGGAGCTATTTAGGAAATTCTAGCTTTTGTTACCATAGGAATGAAGCCGCAGGATTCAATAGAAGAACAATTTAAATAGCAATGCTTAAGTAATTCACATCAGTTTTAATTCTCCCCTCCCTCCAAGCTCTTCTTGGACATAGAGAAAAGAGCTTAGAAAGCTCTTAGAAAGCTCTTTCCTTCTCAGTGCCACTTGACTCTAGCCCAAATGGGGAGAAGACAGCCTGTTACCTATAGGAGAGCATAGCAGTGCCCCTTTCCACCCACGGGACTCTGCTCCCTCTTCCTGAGTGAAGCAGCAGCAAAGAGCTCCTTGGCACAGAGTTCCTCATCTGTTCTTTTTTCAGCTCATTTAAAGCAACTTTTATTCTCCAAAACTGGGAGAATGAAGCAACCAGTCCCCTGGATAAGAGTGGGTCGAGCTAGAATGCTTGTACCTGGTGAACTTGACCAGGAGAAACTCAAGTTGATTTACAGCTTAGTGCAATTCTGATCTAACTGCCTTAACAGCGCACTCTTAGTTGCCCTTCTGAGTTGGTTTATTTCTCTGTTTCTATTTGAAATGTTTAGGTCTACATTAAATACAAACGCAGGATGGCTGAGTTGATCAGTTAATTCTGCTGGCCTTCTGCTGACAACGGGGAGGCAACGAAAAGGAGGAGAACAGTAAATGCTGACACTCGGACTTGCTGTTCCCTGGTTTGTTTTCAAAACCTTTGAACTATGGAAACTTGATAAGAAACAAGAAAGTAGAGAAAAGGTTTATTTTTCTTGGCTTTAACTTCAGGATTCATTCTTTGGGATGCTCTCACTCCTCTGACTTGTGAACAGCATTCTGGTTGGGAACATTGGGTTAGCAGCTCCCTCCCGGGTGAGAGAGTTGGATTAATCGAAAGGGAGTACTTGCAGAACAAGGAGCCTTGCACCTTATTAAACAGATGTGTAGCATTAATAACAAGATTAGGATGTTCACTGCCTCTCAGTATGGGTAACAACTAAACTGACTTTCGTGGTGCATGAAGGACAGTTATAATTCTCCATGCGTCCCATCCCAGCACAATACTTATTTCATCATAACTGCTTTGATTCACTGATCCAAAGACCTACTCTGGAACTGGGAAAGGAATTACAGTACGTGTTTGTAACTTCACAGATGCTGTGAAGTGGTGAAGCCACTTACAGATTAAGGACCAAATGCCTGGCTCTTCCTCAGCAAGCAAAGATGAGCCAAGAAAACAGGCCAGCAACCATATTTTGGCATGACTATCCAGCAATTACAGTGACTTTATTTATCACCCAGTGTCTCCTTTTCATCATACATATCCAGTCTGGTCCATTGTCCCGTCTTGCATTCTTGCTTCTACAGTCTGGCTTATCTTTCAGCTGTCTGGCCAAGCCAATGCTAGAAACCTATGGCCACAGGACACTGTCTCTACAATGCATCACAAACTCCTGTCATTGATAGGAAATTACATGGAGACTCTAAAAAAATACATTAATATAGTAGGATACTTAACTGCCAAACCCAGCTATCTGGAGATTACTTAGTGTGCAGCTCTGCTTTCAACAAAGGTCTAACAGTTTCCATGTTGCTACTGTTGACTACAACCAAATAGGTACTTTCAGACACCACCACTGCCAGCCCCCCACTTACTGCGCTGGAATTGGCTGAGTTGTTTAACTGGATCCTTTTATGGGAACATACAAGAGAGTTTTTCATAGATGGAAATTCTGGGATGCAGTTGCTGCTCTGTAGGGGTGCCTGATAATGCTCCAGAGCTTCCCCAACCCCTTAAATTCACCTTTGTTGTGCTGCCCACATATTTGTGCCTTCATTTCCACACAGCTTCACATGCGTGGTCACAGTTAAAAAGAGGAGACCTTAGTCATATTTTATGTAACTCCTCTCTGCATCTTAAAGGAAAAGAGAAAAAAAAAAAAAAGTGAAAAGGGACTCTGAAACTAGGATGTTTAATAGATTTGCATTAAAAACAATCTCCCACTCAGTTTCAGGACTACATGACAACATTTCTAACATAAAATTGTGGTTTAGTGAAATCTGTTTAAAAAAAAAAAAGATACAACAGATAAAAATGAAAGGTTTTTGTTGATCTTTTGCTGGTGAGGCATTTTAACCTAATTGGCAGCTTTGCATTCTTAAATATAAGTTCTCAGATGGCCAGGGTTATCAGAGCACAAGTCTAGGAAGAGTGGCTGAGAGAACTGGGATTTAGTCTGGAGAAGAGGAGGCTCAGGGGAGACCTCATTGCTCTCTATAACTCCCTGGAAGGAGGTTGTGGCAAAGTGGAGGTTGGCCTCTTCTCCCAGGTAACAGCAACTGGACAAGAGGGAATGGCCTCAAGTTGCACCAGGGAAAGCTGTGTTGAAATGAAGGCACAAATACGTGGGCAGCACAACAAAGGTGAATTTAAGGGGGTGGGGAGGCTCTGCAGCATTACCAGGCACCCCTATACCCAGTTTGGATATTAGAAACAATTTTTTTCTCACAAAGAGTGATGTTGCAATGGAACAGGCTGCCCAGGGCGGTGGTGGAGTGCTCATCCCTGGAGGTGTTCAAGAAACACACAGATGTTGTACTAAGGGACATGGTTTAGTGCGCAATATTGATAGTAGGCAGACGGTCGAACTAGATGACCTCAGTGGTTGTTTCCAACCTTAATGATTCTATGATCAGGATGCAGGGACATTTTTAGTACTTCAGTTTTCCTGAAAATGTTTCAAGGTCCCCTTGCATTGTTTTGAATCCACCCAAAAGACTGGACAACCACTGAAACCATGAACCAAGTACAAGTTGAACCAAAGGAACCACTAAAGTTACTTGCTAAACTTGGAGGGAGCAGCAAAATACAGCAGCAGATTTATTAAAGTGTTTCCAGTTCATAAGGTATGTGGGAAGAAGGTGTGGCAGAAGTGAGAGCAACAGGAGAGAAGGCACGGTTTAAACGTATCCCAGTGTATTAACAGCATTCCCTCAGGTATTTTATTCAAACAGGTAGAATTTAATCTGTGCTGGCTTTGTGTAAGTGGTGTAATCTCTAATGACCTCTGCCTCATATACGCCTTTTTTCCTGAAGGCTGACAGAACTCTTTCACTGATAGCGTTCTGCTAAAAGACCTTCGGGGTAAGCATACTTTCATAAACTGCTTCCCAAGTTAACTAAACCATAATAAGCAGCTTGCGGGACACAACCTCGACACTTCCAACATAAAAGTGACCTTGGGGAAATGGAGCTGGCTGTCAGCACTTGGGAGTCAGCCTAATGCTCTTAAAAGTAGGTCCTAATCCTGGCTTCTCTAGTGCAGGTTTCTCTCATGTAAGCAACACCTTACAATTCCCAAGCTGGCACAGGAGCATGAGTGGCCTGAATCTTCCTGTTTTTTCATCTTTGTGGTGCAAGGACACGTGAGAGTGGTCCTTGAGGTGCCAAGTTAATGCAGCACCATCAAACTGCCTGAAGAAGCATGCAACCCCTAGCATTGCGCTCATTTATCTCACTGAGGAAAAGGCTGTCTACAGAAAAGGATTTTTCACATTTATGCCTCCCCCTTGTGTTTCTACAATATGAACTCTCCAGGCTTTGCTTATTTCTCAAATGGTCTCTCTCAAAGCAAACTTAACACATCACATTTCTTGATTTCTTGGTAAATATGTAAACCTAAGAGAACTCTCAAAACAAAGATCCTTTGAGGTGTCAAACTGAAAATGCTCCACTGAAATAAACACAAATTACAGCAATAAACACCTATCAGAAGCCATCCAACACTTAACAGAGAATCTGATCCTGGACAGATTGCAATATAGATAATGTAAATAAGAAACATAAAACCTTAATATAGCACAGGTTTTGAAGGGACAACTTGAATAATACTCATTCCCTCAGTTCCCGTGGAAAAGAGGAATCTTGCCTTAATGAGAAGTAGGATGGAGTCAGGGTGTGAAGTTTTCTGTTTTCTATCTTAAAGCAATGAACGTACTTTAATTTTGGACAATCTGGAGACAATAGTGTAAAACGCAAGGGAGGGAAGCCCTGGCCTTATCCTGACCTCTCTGACAAGACTAAGTTCACAGCTGTCCTATCGCACAAAGAGTTTGCACGGTGCTGCACAGAGGGAGCAAAAAGTTACCTGCTGACAAGCAGAAGGAAAAGCAGACAGCAGACATACCTGATTTGCCCACGCCAGCTCGACCAAAGATCGCCAGCTTCACTTCTGCACTCTTAGCCATGCTGGAGGAACAGAGTGTCAACAAATTCACTTGATGATCAAAACTGAAGCAGAAGCAGCGTTCCCCAGATCCTGTCTTCGGCTTCACCGTGTCATCGTGACGTCAGTGCAGAGCCTGGGGATGAACACCACGAGCATGGAGCTACAAGGAGCCAGGCGCTTCCTCACCACTCCCCCGTGTGATTTATAAGTCATGCCAACGGTGCTGCACTCCAGCCTTAAGCACTGCACTAACACCACTGACACATTTGGCACCGTTAAGTAAAACCTACCTTAAGCTTTCCAGCTCTTGCTGTTTGTTTCCTGCTGGCATTGTAATGCTGACAAAGGTACCTATTCAACCTGAAGTATCTGCCTCGGGGCTCCAGGTAGGGCTCCTTATTCTTTTTGCCTCTGTGGGCTGCAATTGTTTGTACCTGCCTTAACTCTGATGCTTTAGTTTTTTGTTTAAAAGCTACAACCATTCACCAGCAACGCCTGCAGACAGTTGATCTGTCCTCAAGCCCTCAAATTCCAGAAAGGTTTCAATTACTCAGCAGCAGTTGTTTAAAACCTCTGAGCACTTGTACCTTGCCCCTTCTCCTAAACAAATCAGTGACCAAGAGTTCTCCAGTGCTCCTTCTTTGAGCTGCCTCAGCTCACACACACACACACACACACATTAGGCAAAGCAATGGGGTTAGACAGAGGATGCCAGATACCTGGCAACACGCTTCCAGCAGGCCCCATGGGAATAAATGGCTTTGCTGCATGACCTTGAGCAAGTCACCTGCTCCTTCCTCGCCACCTTCATTTCTCAGAGCTGGGCAGTAATGTACTTATCGCTGCCTGTCCTCCTAACGCGCTCTCGGACATCGAGCAAAACACGGCATCGGTGACCCTCAGCCCCGAGCAAAACCTCGAGCGCTCAGTCTGCCTTTACAACCGCGGAGAACTTTACCGTTATGAAGGTTAGTCGCTGTGCTAGAATGCCCAGGTTAGCCGTTAATTCTTACAGCGACAAAGCAAACTCTCGCTTACTATTACCTGCTCCGAAGCCAGGCACAGCCCGTCACCCACTGGGGCAGTGGGAAAGAGACACGGGGCTCTCCCTCCCCCGAGCGCTCCCGCTCGCCGCTCCGGGACCCTCCGCTCCCGGGCTGCGCTGCGGCACGTCTCGCCGCGTCCCGCCGGCGGCTGTAGCGGCTGTACGATCATGCACAGCTTCACCACCGCCCGCCTGAGACTCCGGGGTGCTCCGCTCCCCGCCGGGGTCCTGGCAGGTGCCGCCCAGCCCGGTCCCGCCGCTCCCCGGCTCCGCGCGCCCCACGCCGCAGCCGCCCACTCGGCGCTCACCTCTTTGCGGTGCCGGGCTGCGCCGTGGCGCTCAACGAGGGAGGCGCGGCCGGGCCCGGCCCCGGGCGCTCCCGCCGGAGGCAGCGGCCGCACAATGCGGACACCCCGCCCGCCCGGCGGCGGCGGCGGCTCCCGCGGCGCACTCAGCCCGCGGCGCTGCAGCGCCCCCTGCCGATCCCACGGCGCCTCTGCGAGACCGTCTCCAGTGCTGCCTTTCCTTCCCTCTTAGCGCTCACCAGTACCTCCCTGCACCCCGTATAAAGGTATAAAGTCAGGCAGTCTCTCCCGGTCCTTAGGACAAAACAGCAAAGTGAAAGTGAGGCCGTTTCTCCAAACGGCCTTCTGTCAGCACCGGCTCTTCATTTGGCGTTCTTCCTCTGTGCGCCCCAGCCTGCATTATGGCAAAGGGAAACATTGTTATTTCAATTTGCAAATGGAGAAAATGAAGCATGTAATTGCATCAGTCCACTCAAGAGGTCAGAGGCAGGGATAAAGCTCTGAAGCAACAGGACAAAACTTAACGGACAACTTTTGCTTCCATGTTGATTAAACTATGCTGCAATGTAAAGATACATGAATAACAGATGTGAACCAGAGTTCCAAAGCACTTAAAGTTCAGTGGATGTTCCTTTCATGTTTCTGTTCCAGCCCATATCTGAATGAGATACAAGGTGAGTAAAAGAAATAGCTCTCCCCCCTCTGTCCTTCTCAATGCAAAATTAAATGAAAGTTGTCTTGGAAAAGATGACCCCACATCTCTACACAAGAGCACAGGCAGCATTTAGGAGACATCAGCCCTGAGGAGACCTGAGCACCTACATGCTGTGCCACTTGGAAGCAGATCCTAAAACAGTTGTGCTGCATATCATTCAAAAGCAAAAAAATTAGAAGGCAGAAGTGAAAGCAGTAGTGTGGTTTGTGCTTTATTTGTTAAAAATAAATTCTGAAGCTTTAAGCCTTCATTCTTTGTTTGGTTTACATAATTTAGAGGGATTAGATTTTTCCATCCTCCTAAGAGAGCAACTGGTGAGTGTATATTTTGCATCTGGGGAGATGTGTGCTAGTCTGGAGGCCTGACATTTGTTTTGTGTCTATGGAATTCACCCTGCATGGGGCTGTCAAATTAAATATGATAACAGGCTTTTACAAAGGAGTAGATAATTTATTGGTCATTAAAAATCCCAGTCACTGTGCAATCTGCTTGCGATGAAGTCTCCTGGTGCCAGGGCATAAGAATTCAGTAAACACCAATCCTGGACACAGGCAAAGGTTTCAGAGACCCACAGGCCTGGTCCAGGACCATGTCCATTGCTGTTTGCTTCCTCTGGCCTCATACATAATGTTGATGGGTTTGGGTGTGCTTTTTTTCCCTTCCTAAAATGAGTTTTGAAATTCACTGGTTTTAGTTTTATAGACCAAGGACCTTGGTCTTTTGCCATGCTTTGCCACACATACATACTTTGCCATAAGCAGTGGTTTACCTGCAGCTGTGCCTGGCACCGTGTTTTCTCTTCGCTTTGTCACTTGTGCTCATCCTGAATTGTACTTATGGGTGTGATCTTTGCATGGGGAATGAGACAGAGAATCGCAGAATCATAGAATCATACAACCACAGAATCATTTGAGTTGGAAGGGACCTTTAAAGGTCCAACCCCCCTGCAGTGAACAAGGACACCCACAGGTAGATCAGGTTGCTCAGAACCCCTCCAGCCTAATCGTGAGTGTTTCCAGGGATGGGGCATCCACCACCTCTCTGGGCAACCTGTTCCCATTTCCTTTGTGATGACATCACGCTAGCTTCCTGCAGGGTAGTAGAGCAGACTGGTGTGACATTACTGGCATGACAAACAGCATGTGAAGTTGATGCGTAAACAGGAAAGGAATGGTGATATTTTTCTACCAATCAGGAGACTCTGTGGTAGATGACAGTGTTGCAGGTTTCAACAACTTTTGAAAGAAGATTTGGGCATGAAATTTGATGGGAATTGTGAGAAAGGAAAAGATGAAAAAGGTCTGATTTCACAAAGGCATCTAGGAGCTTGAGCTTCATAAAAGCCAGTGTCACTTCATTCTCTGATCACTCTTGGTCATCTGAATCCAGATGTTTACAAACTGTAGAGCAGATAATGCCAATGTTGGGATGGCTGAAGAGACAGACTCTCCTGGTCTGCAGTAGGGTACCTGCAGTTGGTAAGGGATTACTGAGCTCAGGATTAATACCTTTGCTGCTGCTTTAGGAGAACAACTCAGAACTGCAGCAAGGGTTGCTCAAGAGCCATGTGCACCTGGTCAGAGCTGGATGCTTGTCCTGAGCAGCAGCCCATCAGTGAGTAGGATTACAGCCTTTTCTACCAGCACTCTCCTGAGAGCTGAAATGTTGCTTGATTACTGTTAGAAAAACTATAGAACAAATAACAAGTTAACACAAATATTTCTAGCTATTTCTAAAGGTTCAAAGAGAAACATTCTGATTCTTTTCTTCATTTTCACAGAATATCTTCCAAATGTTTCTGTGTTGGCTTCCAGCAATGTACATAAATCTGTTCAGTTATGCTAATCTAGTGCCATGAAAAAAATTGCAACTTTGTCATTAGATTATGGGCACACTTTGTTGTTAGTCTGTAGTCATTATAATTGCTGGTTTAAATTAATGTTGCCTTTGCTTATGTTTTGCCTTGTAGCTCATGAAACACTGAGTTTATAATGATGTGCTTCTTGAGTGTATGCTGAGGCTTTATAACTTCCCTCAACTCTTTTCTTACTATATATAAGAAAAATTAAACACTTTTGTTTTAAGATACAGGCTTTATTGTTTAATAGGTGTTTATTTCTAGTGTAGTAATTGAGATCACAATCCTGGAAACATTTGGTTGTGTTTATCTTACAAGAGCAGGCTTAATGAAGTAGCGAAGGAAGCTACAGCTTCGCCTTTGGGATAACCTGGTGCCATACTAACTCTGTGCCACTTCAAGGAAAATATCTATACAAGCACAAAATCCCTCACATACATAATTACTGTGGTGTTCTTTTTCTTTTTTTTTTTTTCTTTTTGTTATATGTACAATTAGTTCAGGCCCTTGTGAAGATTTAAAAACCAAGCAGATGTTGAACTTTGCTGAAATTCAGGCTATTTGCTAATCTCTATCTCTAATCCGAAGCTCTGCAACAGCCTGTATTGATGTTGCAGCCACAAAGAGAGAAGCAGAATCTGGGCTTCAACGTTTTGTTTCATTTGGCTTCATGAGGTGCCAAAACAGAGTACTGGAGAGGGACAAGGGATGCTCTTCACAGCATCTTGTGGATCTCACACATGGAAATGCTTCTGTGCTGTTTTCTGACTCAGGCCTTCTATTTCAAACATTTGGCGTGTTTTCAAAGAGATACATAAATACATAGCTAGGGTTTTTTTGCAGTAGCAAGATTTTTATACGGTATGCTTCAAAGTGATACATGTGCATGCGAAGTTGATATACATGGTACCTATGTTGATATACAAGGTCTTCCTATGCTAGGTAGATTAGCAAGGCATAAATTCATGTTTTGTAACCCATGACAAATGACTCTTCCATTATTTAAAGGAGGCCTGCAGGAAAGATATGTAGGGACTCTTCATCAGGGAGTACAGCAACAGGACAAGAGTTAATGCCTTTAAGCTAGTAGAAAGTAGATTTGGATTAGACATTAGGTAGATATTCTTCATTATGAGGCCCTGGCACGGGCTGACCAGAGAAGCTGTGAGTGCCCCATCCCTGGAGTGTTCAGAGCCAGGTTGGATGAGGCCTTGGGCAGCCAGAGATGCTGGGTGCAGCCCTGCCCACAGCACAGAAGTTGGAACCAGGTGATCTTAAAATTCCCTTTCAACTCAAACCATTTTGTGATTCTGTGATTCTGTTGCTCACATTAAAAGTCATAAATTCTGCTAATCTGTGTTTCTCCTCATCTGAGCCATTGACTAGGTTTCATCCTATCAGTCTGCCTTTAAATTTGGGCAAGTTGTGACTACATACTCATTTGGAATACAGCAATGATTGCATTGACCCTATCACAGTTTAGTCCTTTTTGTTCTTTGTTTATGGTTTGCTTTTCTGATATTGTCGCTTCTCCTTCCTCACTCATCTTTTAGAGGAGAGATCTTTTAATAGTTTTTTATTAAAGGAAAATTAATTAATACATAACCCTAGCAAAAACAGGGTGACCGTAATTCTCTTGTACATATTCAGAATTATAACATACTTACATGCTTGAAAAAAAACCCAAAGAATTCCAGTTTCTACACTGAAGTAAGTTTGGACTATAACTAAATAATATTCTGTAAATCAACTAATAGTCTTCTAATAGAGAGATTTGTATTATGGATTTAATAAAGTACAGTAATGGAATTAAAAACCTCTGCTAACAGTTGCAACAAATTTTGCAACAAATGTGCAATACCAGACTTTATTAATGAATGAGTTACACTGATGTGTCAACTTAATTTCTTACAGATGTATTCATGTGCTTTGAAAAGACCAGTGGAAATTACCATAAATTCATTTGCTATCCATGTTAATGAATGCTAGCCCTTATTCTTCCTCAACGGTATTATGATTGCAATCTGGATTGCCGTAGGGACTCCATCGTAATTCATCATTGCTTCAGTGTTCAAATTCTCTGGTGGAACCAGATATTGGTGTCGACAACATCTGGAGTTTTCCACCTCTCATCTTTTTTCTACCTCCTTCCCTCTGTTTAATCAAGAGAATGGAAGGGGTAATTGCTGCCATCATTAATAATATGTTGAGGGAGCTGAATGACTGA